CCCCCCCCATTATCAATTAGTTAACATAATAGGTACGTTTCAGCGGAACACAGTTTTGAAACCATTTTTATGATTGTGTGCTAAGATAGAATCCATCAATCCTCTAGATCTAAAAGTATAATACAATCAGCGCAAAGAAAACTTCCAACATTTGCGAAATAAACGCTGAACGCAGTCATTTTTTATTCGTTTTTTAAAATAACATGTAACAGGTTTAATATTGTTATGATTTGAGATATAGTAAATTGAATTAGTTGAATAACTGGATTTTATCTGAAAAATATAAAAAGAAATTTAAAAAATAAATTTAACGCCGTTTTTTTAACAGTAAAGGAAGAATATTTCAAATTGGAGATTAAGTAATATCGATTAGTTAAAATAAAACGGATTGTTATATTATTATTAGTTCTCTTATTGCGTTTATATTTTGTAACTCTGACTATCATTGCAAATAAAAAAAGGTTAAGTATAAGTACGAATCTCCTTATATTTCCTGAGAAATAAATGTATATCTATCATATTTCATTTCTATTTTATTTTCTGTTTTAAATATAATGTATATTGTGTAGGTCTGTTATTTTTCGAAGGTTCTGAACTTATTGCATCAGTGTACACCAGTTCAGAACTTACAGTGGAAAAAGAACAGATCTTATGCAATAAAGTAAAAAAAGAGAAAAGGTTACAACAGAGAGAAGAGGTGAGATGGAATATCAATGCCTTGATTGGTTACATACCTCGCTCGCGCATGTGCAGTTCATTTTTATCCACGCTGACATCAAAGGTGCCGACAGAGAGTTGCGCTACTGTATATACTGTGCTAGAACTAACGAGGATCAACTCGTGCCAATAGCGGTAGTGGGGGTGAGGCAAAAAGTGGCGACGGATAACTTCCCCCACTCTTGCGCTTCATTAGTCCTCTCTATCGCTCTATATAGTTGTCGCTCTATCGTTCTATAATCGTCACTTTGTCGCACTTATATCGAACTTTCACACAATGCGCAGTGCCGCTGCACATCGTGTGAATAGCCGCGGACGTTTTTTGACTCACCCCCACCACGCGAGTTGACTCTCCTGGGTCTCTAGTCTTCTTGGCTGAATGTCCAGACTCTCTACTTCTAGGGACTTTATGGCAGTGAATATCGGAACACACCCTTACGTGAGCGCCGAAACTGAACGTATGTACGTATTATCGAACATTTCCACATTTATGTAAATAATTCGCCGGTCCTAGTCCTAGCAGATAACATAATAATGAATCAGGTAAAAAGGTTTAATCTATTTTACAATAATGATTATAAAAATTCCATAAACATTGGAAATCATAAACATGGAAATATTCAAAATGCGTACTTTATTTTGTCCAGTACTATACGAAATATTTGTAAAACCATTCCTTTTATTGGGAATAAATTTTTATAACTATATACTCAGTAATAATATGAATAAATTCGAATTTATTTAGATATTTATAATTATTACTGAATAATATTCAGATAATATGAAATGCGATATAAAAAAGCGATACAGTAATAGTATTTTATATATGGAATATATTAAGTTACATTATAATTAAATCCGTTTATATATTTACAGTTTTAGTTTCTGTTTCTAGCAGTCATTTTTAAAAAATATTTGTCTTCGAAGAATTTCTTACACAATACTTTTGTTATCACAGTAATAAATTTTAGTTAATATTACTTAATATTAAACTTACTTAATATTAAACTTTCTTTCGGACGTGATAAATTTTCTGTTAATCTTAAACCAATTATCTTATTGCTTTGCTATGTTATACTATCATTATATTCTCTAAAATAATTATATTAATCATTAACGAAATATATAAATTACAGTTATAGTTGTTATATGAATTTAATTTAATTTTTTCTTAAATTAGTATAAGAAATTATAATTTAAAATATAATTATGTAATTTAAGTTTCTATTCTCTAGTGCCTTCTTTTCTTACCAATGGAGAATGTATTCAACATTTCCCCTTACCTTTTCCCATACATTTTATATGTTATAAGGTAGTTGACGTAACAGCACTAACACCGTGTACTAAAACTGTAGGTGGTAAGTCGACAGTCAATTCTGTCAACGATTGTAGGTACTGTCGATACATGTCATCCTCATCCCAAGTGTTTGAGGCTGGCGGACCGGGCAAATAAATGAATGTTGTTGCAGTTTGAGAAGAATATTGCCGTATCAGTTGATTGACTCTGAGAAATAAAATTAATAAACATTTTTCTCTTTGTAAAAAATTGTAGCTAAAGAATCAGTTATAACGCTTACCCTAGTATATAAGCCCGGGACACGTTACTCAAAGTATTATTAGACTCTGTGCTTGATTCATATTGATTTTTTGGCTCAAGCAGAGGCCTACCCTTTAAACCTCGGATTTGCTCTCCCCATTCCGGGATTTTTTTAATCGATGCAGAAATTCTCAGCAAATTCAATGACTTTCGAATCCTGTTCTCATTCGAGATTCTCGGATATTCGTTCATTGAATTGGGAGAATCTGAGATACTTAGGCTTTCATTGCCATTTCCAGTTTCGCAATGGAACACTCTGAGATGTAGGTTTTTCCAACTAGGTACCATATTGATGATACATGCGAGTTGAAGCATGAATAATGACGTTGTATCGAATGGATCTTGATCGGTCGGTTGGAAAAAGTTGACCGGCCATACGTCAATATATTTCAAATTCGAGTTTCTAAAAGCAAATATATATATATATATATATCACTGTATAATAATAGATGTTACAAATATTTTCGCGATAATAAATTTTTACTCACTTCGTCAACTGTGCTTTATTTAACAGATGAAAGTTTCTACATAAACATAAATTTTTCTTCATTCTTAAAACATCCGAGCACATACCAACATATTGAACCGGATCTAGATTCTTTTCACCTGTTGCTTGTCTCAGAGGGAACACAGTGTTATTTGGAAGCGTTGTACTGTTTTCAAACATTGTCGTCGCGTATTGAGAATCCAAGAAGAAGTTCCTTGGCGTTTCTTCATCATAAAACCCGAGAACGATCGTATTTGGTTTCATTGCACCCATACCAGACAATCTTATTAAATGTTGCATGCCTTCGCGCACCGTTTTCGTCACGGTCAATTCAATGAAAGCTTTAACTCTCATATGATCAACTAAACTCAACCAGTGCGGATATTCCTCTATCGTAGGATCGCTATTTTGACCATTAAATTTACCAACTTTTACATGTCCAATAACATAAAGTCCTCCTTTCTTCAAGTCATTCACAAAATCGATAAGAGGACAAGCGGAACGCGGACACGCAACCATCAGCAACATTTGTGGACGCCAAAATTTAACATGATCCTTACGCGAATCCAACATTAGCAAGTATTTTCTAACTTGATGGAATATTAATGCTTGAGATATACTGCCCCATGGTGCGTTTTTACTTGGTGAGAATAAATGTAGCACAATGATCAATATTAAGCATAAAATTATGCTACTGGAAGCATAAATACTATTAATTATGAACATCATTATCAGTGTTCCAAGAAGACCTATAGTCGCCGTGTGCCATGTAAAGTAATTAAATGTTGGCCTGAAAGGAAGGTTTAGATTTACTTATAAGGGACATAATATTATATATATATATATATATATATATATACACCTATATATCATAATTATATAATATAAAATAATTAAATAAATATTTAAATACCTGAAGTTTGGTGCACTAGCAAGTTCCAATCCAAGACACGCAAGATTGGTAGCCAGATAACTTAAAAGAAATAGTACCGAGTTAATTTGAGCAATGG